TAAAGATTATTCAGACTTTTGCTGAGGAATAAATAATATTTTTTAATTCGTTTCCTGGTTCAATTCCGTCTGCTTTAGGTACCACCTTAGTTCCACCCTCCGTCAAAGTCCCAGTCACAGGATCAGGATTTTTTTTTATCATTTCGTAATTTCTGTGGTCGATACAATGACCTTGTCAGCAACTAAGAATTATCATTGAATCAAATGCTGACTTACGTTTTTCATATTAATTGTTAGTCCATTATTTATACACAGAATTGACGACGGATTTTTCCGTTATTTCCCTATCATGACAAGGAGCACACGGCGGTTGTGATCGGTCGGCAAGTGATGCTTATTCCTCCATGGCACCTGATCCCATCGGTGGTGTTTTGGAGGTCTGTGTTTATTATGCTTCTATTTTGTATTGTTTTATGAACTTTTGATCTTGAATACTGTTCGTTATCTCCATATGTTTCATTTTACCATTTTGATAACTGAGGTTAGCTACTCATATGTCTGTCCTCATATTGTCCATAATGAATTCACAAAAAAAAGAAAAAAAAGAAAAGAACTTTTTTTGCCGGTTCAGTTCATTCCCATATGGGAAGATCTTATAACAAGAATATTTTTGGGTCTGAATCATTAAACCGGGGGGAACATGAGATTAACAACTTTAGTGACGTAATATTTATAATTGTCCTTTTAGTTTGCAATTGTTTACTATATGTCCTTAAGGAAAGATGGTGATTTTAAAGGTGTTTTTTATTATATGCTGACTAATTGTTAGGTCATTATTTCTACACTGCATTGTCGACGAATTTTTCCCTTATTTCCCGAACATGACAAGAAGCACACGGCGGGTGTGACCTGTCGGCAGACGCTCACTCTTCCATGGCACCCGATCCCACCTCTGATGTTTTGGAGGTCTGTGCTTGCTCTGCTCCAATTTTGTATTGTTTTTTGGACTTTTGAGGTTGCATACTGTTCATTATTTCCATATATTTTATATCACCAACTTAGCAGGAACCCTATATATCTTCAGGCCCGAGCCCTGAACCTAGGGGTATGGATTTTACAACTACGGTCAAGAGTTAGAGACTCATTGAAATCGTGCAAATATTGTCTCCTCACACTAAGGCCTTAACGATGATTTTCACCTTTTGAATATAAGGTTAATTGCTTATTATAATATTTAAACAGTTAGAATGCTCGATATTAGGTACAGAACTGTAGAACCTTGGTTTTTGACCTTAATTCATATATTAGACTTTGACCATAACGCTTCAAATCTTGATCTACACTACACTTCTGCAGCCAGCTTTCAGTAATTTAGAAAAAATATACTCGATTTTTGATGCGTTCTATTGTTTGTATGATGTGCATATAAGTGCCTACCATCATATTGCCATAAATTTCTCAATTCTCTTTGAGAATTCATTGCATAACCATACAAACTTGATGCGGCATTGGTACCCAAGAGAATAATTAAGTAACAAGATCATTACGTGTTTTCAAAATATGACAAACTGAATCCCTTCTCTTGGATATGAATCCTAAATCAAATGGTCATCAATTTCAAAATAGATTTGCTAACATTTTGTCGCCTTTTGTTTCTTGGGGGTAAATCTTAGTTTTTTTCTTCATATGTGCTGCATTTCCAATACATGGCATACATGTAAATATATTGATAACTCCTGGTCTGAACCTCGAATTCATGGGGTTATACCAAATTTCTCGGTCCTGCTAAAGAGCTTATTGCTTATAAAACCATGCCATTAAAATTTAACCGCTTGATGTCAAATAATGGAGACTTTTGAAAATATCATTGATTTCAATAAAGGTTTTGGTCACGATAACAGAGTCTGACAAATCTGTTTCATATTTAGATATTTGATTAGAAAAAGACGTTAATTGTAATCTAACAACAAGGCTTTATGATTAACGTGATGATTTTATCTATCAATCATCAACTTCCCTTACTTATGCAGCAGTATACCTTCATCACCTGCATACAGAGTTTATATCTCTCAGTTGATTCGATACGCAAGAGCATGATCTTTGTATGAACAATTTCTTAAACGAGGTAAATTATTGACAAACAAGTTAATGAAACAAGAATATCAGCAGTCTAGTTTACAGTCATCATTTTGTAAGTTCTGTGGTCGATACAATGACCTTGTCAGCAAATACAGTCTATCATTGAGTCAAATACTGGCTGACGTTTTGCATACTAATTGTTAGTCCATTATTTACACATTTACACATTGAATTGACAACGGATTTTCCGTTATTTCCCGATCATCATAACAAGGAGCACATGGCGGGTGTGACCGGTAGGCAGATGCTCACTCCTCCATGGCACCTGATCCCACCTCAAATGTTTTGGAGGTCCGTGTATGCTCTGCTCCTATTTTGTATTGTTTTATGGATATTTTAGCTTGGATACTTTTCGTTATCTCCACATATTTCATGAGGGAGTTCACAAATTTTGTTCCGCTTCGAAAAAAAAATTGGGAAAAATTCATTCATTTGCCTCGTAGAATTGACAATATGGTCTAATCAAAAAAAAGTTGAAGTTTCCTTGTATGGATGGGAAGTTGGAAACATGGATCATATAGCTGCACAAAAACAAACTTTTAAGGTAATCAAACATTAAGAAGCTAACCTCGACGAATTTTATCTATAGTTAAGGACTGATGATACAAACAATTTTTTCTTTGGTCCTTAAGGCATATTTTTTTTTCTCCAGTTTTTGTATATCCAAGATCAATATTCATGCAAGTTTGGTTTACGTGGAACTTATAGTTATAAAGACAATGCACTTGGAAATGGACATGCTCAAAAAACTTAATTTGAACTGTTTCCTAATTTCGATCAGTTTCAACATCAAAAATAAGTCTGAAAAGTCCATAATCCTAAGATGCACTATCAATGCGAGGTTGTTATAAGTTAAAAACTCAAAACTTGGCGACAAATCTCCATTATTATATTAAAAAAATTCATAAAACATTACAGCTTTATCTTTCAGTTAAGAATTAATGATCTCATCTCCACAATTATCAAGTTTTTTTTATGACTGCATAATGCTCCACATTTGAAATGCCTTAAAATACTCTCAGTAATTGCTGCTACCGGATCTTAAAACAATTAGGCAATGTGACTTTTAATCTAAAAATATTTTGTTCTTTAACTTAATTGTGGTGATCGATTTGCTGGATTTTTAATGAAACATAAAAACTCATATTTCTTCATTTTTTTCACTTGCATTCTCTTGGCATATGACATTAACGAAACTAACGACTTGTTAACAAATGTGTCAAGTAAAAAGAAGTACCTTTCAAAAGACTTCCTTCTCCTTGTCAAAATATAATGGTTTTTATTATAAACCTATTCAGTAGAAAAAGTAAATAAATCAGCCAATGAGACCCCCTCCATACAGTTGTTTTCACATTTAAAAAAAATAAACTGTTACAAGAGAGACAACTCAGTTTACATTTGGACATGACGTTTGGAATTATTATTTTTTGGAATAACGTCTTAAAGCCATTAACATGGACACAGTTTCAGCTTAAAATTTTCAAATTTATATTTCATTTTTTTATGTTTACTTTACTAAGGCATTTCTAATGATCATCAAAAAGTTGAATTTGAATTGTCGAGATACAAGACAGATTTAGAGCTCCCCACCTTTGTTATGTTAACAGGGCTCGTGCCATGTTTTTGTTTACATTCGTTAAATATACTAATATACAATGACTTTCCTTTAAGGCAGATTTTTTCAATAAAGAAACTAATTCCAAATACGATTAGACAGTTTCTAGTGATTTGCTGAATCTCGTTTTGCTATAAATATGATATTTTTTTCTATATACATGTATAAACAAAAACAAGGCATGAGCCTTCTTTACATTATGAAGAATTTTAAGTTCTGCATCTCCCTTATAATTCAGCAAATGATATTCAGTTTTTATTGATTATTAGTTAGGAATTGTAAACATTAAAGTTTTTAAAAAAAATCAGTCGAAACTGTGGCCATGTTCCTTTAAGAAATGTAAATATCTAGACCATAAAATGAGAAAAAAAATGTGTCTTTGTCATTCTGCTGTGCAAGGATTAGTACTTGTATCACATAGGCATGTGTAACAAAGAAAATTTATATATAGCTATAACAAAACTTGCAAAATTAAAATTAACATATGTAACACAAAACATACCTATGAGATATTCATTACTAAGGTCTATGTACATGTGTCTTTCCATTAATATTTAGATAGATAGTTTTCAGTAGACCCAAGTTAACAAGAGTTATTTCCCGTTGGCCGTCATATTGTGGGTCAACATGCTCATATTCCTTCAATATTCAACCAACTGTAGCTTTCTATAATGGAAATTATGGGGTGGGAAGCATTGTTTTTGTTAAAAATATACATTTGTTAGAGCCTCCTTTATTTCATAATTTTTATTCCATAAAGATTTTCCGCAAAATATTTCTGCTATACCCTCTTATATTTGGTAGGACAAAGAGGGAAAATTACCAGGCTGACCCCCAAAATGGCGGCCAACAGGAAATAACTCTTGTTTATTTGGGTCTACTGAAAACTATCTATTCCAGGGGCCACAGGGATTCTCACTCCTCTTAGGCACCTGATCCCAACAGAATTCATGAGATTGATCTTTATTGCTAATATTACTATTTTTGTTTGCACATATACCTGGTAAGTAAAGGGAATTGACGATCATTTAGTATTAAGTGATTAAATTGTGAATTAAGAATGTAGAATTCATGTAAGGGACATATACATGTAGGTCACTCAAGATGAAAACGAAAAAAAAATATGTAAGTGAATTTCATTAAAGTGATTGTTTTCTTATGTATACATGTAACTGAAATTTTTAGTCCTGGATATCACATAAAGATCCATTATTTTCTTCAAATACAACCTATTCATTTGTATCTTCAAAAAAAAAAAGAAAAGAAATTAATTCCTTTCTCACACTTCTCAATGATAAAGATACCATTTTGTGTAAATTTCTTTATTAACTAACACACTGTGCTCAATTCCATAGATATAAAGCATATCTTTACTTCGCATCTCTGTTTTCACCAAAAAAGACCAAAAAAAAAAAAAAAAAAAAATTAAAATCCATAACAAAATACTTTTGCTATAAGAACATGTATATCATTTTAATTTATTACTTCATACACAATATATTCACTTGCTGTTGAGGTAACCAAAACTGTAACAATGATTTAAAAAGAAATCTAAAATAATAAATTAACATTAAAGCAATTCATTTTATGTAAAAACAAATTAGATCAATATACAGTAGTGACTGTGTAAAATTTACTTAAATTGCACAAAAAAACCTTCTAAAGTGATGAGAAAATAAACCCAAATTCACATTTAATTCCTGGAACTTTGAAGCTTATTCTACATGTGTTAATGACACATTTTTGAAGACAATAAATAGGAATTTTTTTAACAGACACCTGAAAAAAAGAGCCATTTCACAAAATATAACATAAAAATAAAAACAAAAAGGCACATCTTCTAAAACAGGTAATACAATGCAAAAGTACTTTTCAAGTATACATGTCTGAAACAAGAAATTCTAACACTTCTAACATCTTAGAAACTTTAATTTTTTAAAATTTCATTAAAAAAAAAAGGAAAGAAAAAAAAAACATATAAAGTCAGAATACTTAAAACGAGTTTTATAATGACATACAGAAGTCAACACAGAAGTTTTGGGACTGGCTACATATTAAAAAAGGGAGACAATCACTTCTCTGCTGTCACATACATTATCTTTACCACTATCTCAAGTTAACCTATGCCTATTCTTCTACTTTTTCCCAAACATAGAGTTTTAATTTTTTTTTTATTTTAAACAATCAACCAGGACAATACTTCTTTTGATATATATTAAACATTCCCAAAATGAGAGAGAAGCAATTTCAAAAACATGCATTCATAAAATCAATTTTTAACACAAGCAAACATAAATTATACAGTTCAATAAACACATTTAACAATAATTATATACAGATACACATACACTGTAATTCCTACGAAAAATGGTCAAGAAAATAAAATGAATCCAAATGAAATACATCTATAAAAAGTTGATATAATAGTTTAAATGTATTCCGCTTAGCACAAAGAAAGCAGCACTTGAATAAATTGTATATTTTCTGTGTAAATAAATGGCAAAGGAAAAATGTTTGAATATCCAAAAAATGTATTATCCTCCAAAATTTATTTCTGTATAAAGCATTTTACAAAATTGAACAAATGACATTCACTGAATGCTATTACAATAAAAAAAAACAAGAAAGATTAAAAATAACCATTTCTGTCTTTCTTATGTAATTAACAGATATGTATTGGAAGCGGGTTATTTATATATGTGTAACAGAACAGTAATTACTAACATTATAGAATGAGACTAGCGTTAGAAGAAAGTACAAATATCATTAAATCTTCAACAAAAAATTAATATACAATGTATATAATCCTGAATGTGTGCTGTGAAAACAGCTAGAATAATAAGGAACTTAAAATTGTATAATGTAATCTTAGATTTTAACTTCAACAGCAATTTTTCTAGATCCCTCATAATGTCAATTTTCGAAAAGATCTCATCAAGTTCTTTTTAATTTATCTTCCTTATGCCCAGTATTCCAAAAAAAAAAAAAAAAAAAAAAAAGAATTATACAAACACACACAAGAGACAACCTTATTATTCTATTAAAAAGTACATTATTATACATAATTACTGCATAATTATAAACTGCCTTGACTTGAACTTAGCTGTACATTTATATGATTTAATACATGTATATATATACATCTAATGACACAGTGCAAAATTACACAACAATTAACTCTTCCAAAGGTGTAGCATTAACTATATCAAACATTTCTTAACCAGTTCATAGACATGTACAAAATTTACAGATCTTAAAAATTCAAATGTCCTTTCACTAAAGACAATCATTCTTTCATCCTAGTCTATCTCACAACAAATAAAGTAAAATATAAAACCGAACAATGTTCAATATTGCAACATAGCTTTAAAGACTTCTCACATCTCAACAAAATTAACAGTTCGTGATAATATATGCCAGTATCAATGATGTAGACCTTGTCCTATATATAGAACTTTCCTCTCTGACTAGGAGGCGTTTCTCTCTCATCCTCCGCGGGCGGACGGGTGGCAGCGATGGCCTCGGGGCCTCGTTGTGGCTGACCCCGCCCTCTGGTGGCTGTCCTGTTTTGGTCCGAGCCAGACGACCCTTCCTCCCGGATCGGGTCTAGATTGGAGGAGCTGCTCTTTGTAATGTTGACAGAGGGGCGATTTGGGGAGGGGGAGTTATCCCTGAAGCTGTTATAATCCTCAGTTGGGTGGTACAGCTGTCGATACTGATGGTCGTCTATACTCCCAAACAAGGAATTCTGGAAAAGAAAGAAGACATATTTTAAAGTCTTACAAAGCATCTCTCTCACTGAATAATCTTGCATAAAATAAAATTTTACATAATGGGAACTATTCAAATAAAATGTCAACAATTCAGAAACTACAGAATTTGGTGTTAGCAATCTGACACTCTAAAATGTTTTATTGGTTTCAATTGTAATGAGAAGCAGAATTTGCAGAAAGGCTGTATCTCTTAATGTCCAAACACGCTGTGATTTCTTTGTGAAATCACCCTGCAAGTTAAACATGGAATTTAAAACTGATCAAGTAAAGATACTTTTGATGTGCTATATGTGTATTAAGTGTCATAATATATGTACCCCGTCATCACTGAGAGCTGGTACCAAATCATCAGGTTCATTTACAACCGGGGTGGCTTGAAACACAAACAACATAACCCAGATAGGCAGCAAAAGTTTGAGAACCTACAACATAACAGAACAAACAAATGACTTCTAAAACAACCATATTTGTATCTTAGACAATATACTTGTCAAATAAAATGGACTAAATACGCCTCAATACAAGTGCATGTACTTTAAACTGATATTTACAATCTATCTACTGACAGATATTTCCTTGTTGTTTTTCTACAGACTTACCATGAATACCAGAAAAACAGATGAAAAGAGCTCTTCTTTGCCACCCTGAAAGAAAGGATGTCAAAATATTACAGTAATTTCACAACCAAAGCTAATAAAGACATACAAACTCCCCTACCGTGTGCACAAAAGATTTTCAACTATAAATAAAAATTCTGGACATTTCAGACATGCTCACAGTCTTTTGCAATTTATTCAGAAACTATTCTTCTGCATTCTCTCTCTATCTAAATAACTCATTACCGGTCCATATTTTCATTTTGATCTTTTTGTAAAATGCAATCACAATTTATACTTACAAATATGTTTCCACATCCATTTGATTCATTTCCAACTGTAATGAACAATAACATTATTGATAAATGAAAAAAAAAAATCTTTATGATCCTTAATTTGAAAGTAAATGATGTTATTAAGATACTTACTTATCTGAAGTGTTAGATCATACATGAATCCAATGAAGGCTGAAATTTCAAAAACAATGATGATGCTGAAAAAAAGAGTATAATATTCTGCAAAATCAGGATATTCAAATAAACATCAGAATGACATGTAGGACTAAGTAGACAATATTAATTTATATACATTGTATTGCTTTGATTTTTTTTTTCACTTGAATATATCTGAGAGATCTCTGAGAATGTCAAAGTCGAGGTTAACATGTCCTCCTAGACCTAATAAAAAAGATGTCCTCAATTTTTCTCCCTTTTATATGTTTGTATTAGAAGTATTTCATTAATTTTGTTAATATACATCCCACTAAAGGAGTAATGATGAAGAGACAATGTGCAATCTGATTAAAATCAGATCCTTTGATCCACTCACATAGATCGCTACACAAGGATGTGAAGAAACCCCATTCAGGGTCATCTCATGGTGACCTTTCTAATAAAAATATTCATTAAAATTTTGACCAGTCAGAGAGATCTTACTAATGAAGTGAAAGTAGCCGTGGAGAAGATCTTATCTTTATGTACAAAACAAAAAGCTAAAAAACAAGGCAAAAGCAAGTACTTATTATATTACTGTACAGAAAAGACTGTGGTCGTTCTCTTGGCAGGCTACAGAAACTAGGTCATGACTTTCCATTAGTGTTTCACTTTTGTAACTGAATTCCGAGATACTTCTAAATTCTCGGAAGTGAACATTTAATTGGATAATTGAAAGGTCACCATGAGATGACCCTGAATGGGGTTTCTTCAGATCCTTGTGTAGCGATCTATGTGAGCAGATCAAAGGATCTGATTTTAATCAGATTGAGACAATGTGATCCCTAATAGATAACTAAGTAATAAAGCCCCACTGTAATGCCTGAACCTACCACCAGAGGTCTCTCTTCTGTGACCACCTGACGGAATCGAGGGTGCTTATCTCATTAAGGCGGCGAGTGATGTAAAAACCAGCGACCATAAATAACTGGACAGTGGCAAACTCTGCCCCTGACAACTCCAACCAGTAGGGCTCTGAAAGGTTATCATGACACATTACCATTAATTTCCACAGAAAAAATTACAGTAAATGTCAAAAAAAGAAATCATAAACTGTAAAATCACAAATTTTTTGTAGGGGTTTAATTTTCGTTGTTTTAGTTGTATGGAAAGAACCATGAATTCATGACCACTATGAAATGAAAAATTTTACATGCATTACTACTAAACATTTTCCAACCACGAAGTCATATCCCTACAATCCAATAATTTTTCCTCAAACCTCAAAACTTCCGACCCCACGAAAATATATGATTTTACAGTTAATAAGTCATAAGAAACAATTTATAATAAATTTTTTAGTGTAACATGTAAATGAATATACTGAACAAAATTTGCGTAAAAAATCTGTTTATGACTCAAGAGAAAAAAGTTATGATCAAGATAATTTCAATTTTAACTTTTGTTAAACATCTTGCAACAACTTTTTTTATTGTCCATTTTGACACTCACGTAAGCATTCTGTGATGGCAGGTTCTACATTGACTATTCCCAGTGTGGCTATGACGGTGAAGTAAACACACACCAAAATCAGGAACGGAATCAAAAACCTATAGACAGCAAAATAAAGCACTCATCATCAATTTTGTTAAAAATTTTTACATGAATGTACACTATAAACATGATAAAGGAACAGTTTTATAAAAAGTTTTTGAATCTATTTTATTAACAGTTTAGACCATTTTTTTGTATTGCATATTAATAATGTTAAAATTTGAAAATTATGCAAGAAATAAATCAGGTGTATATTAAAAAACATACAGTGGTAAGCTACTGCATTTCTTAATGAACCTTACATGAATACATTACAGGTAGCCATTACCATTTCGTGAGTCTTTCTCTCCTAAGAGCTCTAGTGGCCAGTGTCCAGTAAAAGTGACACATGACAAGGAACTGGATCAACTTCAGGTACTGTAGGACAAAGTCCATCTGGGCATACTGGACCAAAACCCAGTGTACTCCACTAAATTATATAAAAAACATTTTAATTTAAAACATAACTGATTTTCAATTCATCAACTGCTATTCTAAGTATGATATAGGCAGTTATCAATTGTTTTCAATCATTGACTTACGCAATGGTGCATTCCAGTGAAGCGGTGTAGAAGATCACATACTGGTGCCATGCTGGGTGGTGCATCAAGTGGAGTCGCACCACCTTAAATATACACACTATCCCCGTAACAACTGCTAGGAAAGTCAAAATGGAGCTCCTACAAAAAAGAATTATTTAAATACGTTTAAAGCAAAGTTTTATTTGCAGTAATCTAGTAAGCAAAAATGGCATATGTGCTGCACATCTGTTCTTAATTTGTCCTTGTCCTATGACAACATCTTAAAAGTGTGGATCCCAAAGTCAGTGTTTTCCCTTTATTTCAATGTAAAAGGTCAGAGATCAGTTGTAACAGGCTAAGGGCTGAGGTTTATGAACAAAATTTCTGTGGACCTTTCAACAAAGTTTTATTTCAAAGCAGCATTTTTGTCAATTAAAGTGGTCAATTTGGCCGGTAGCCGGTTCCTAGGGAAAACGCTGCAAAGTCAGAGATTTATGAAAGATTCTAGACATTTCTAGTTTGCATCAATGAACTTAATAGAAAAAAATACTTGCAACTGCAAACACATTCTATAATACAAGATTTATTCTGAAAGTTTATGAATATACCCACCTTATGCATGCCACTGTGTTAAAATTAATCAAGCAGCCAGCCATTATGAAGTCTTTACTCGGGGTTGTACTGTTAGACATGGAGGTGTTTCCTACTATTCCCAACATGATGGTTGTGTTTAATACTGTCTGTACAGAATAAAATATGATCTAGTAATAAACCAGCTTAAGCTCTTGATAAGTACAGCAACAATTTGAAAAAAAAAATTATCATTTCATTGTCTATCATAACTTATTACCCGTTGAGTTAAATAGCTTTTCCTTAAACAATCCCTCGATATAGCTATGGATGCAAATATCAATGTGAATTATTTATTAACGATACATTTTATTAATTTAAATTACCTGGATAAAATGAAAGTTGAAAAAATTATGTAAACATCCGGTCAATATTGTTTACTCCTCATGCGAGTCAAAAACAGAGATTCCATTTCAAAAATTACGTCTTAAGCTTATTTGAAATATTGCTGCACATAGTCATAAAAAGGGATTTATGCGTCTGTATCGTTTCTCTACTTGTAAAATCTAACGATAAACAAGGTCCCTGAAACAAAACCAAAATTCTGTTGCTGTACTCAATGTCATTCTCGATACATTATTTTCCGGAAGTGATCTAGAGTTATGCCCCTCCCCTTACCGCAACAATAGGTGGCGCTATAAAATTTTGGGAACGGATCTAGACTAGAGAAATGAGAAGGGATGTAATTGCTATTAGAGAGATTACAGTAAGGAGTGTACCATTTGACAAGCTAAAACAAATTAATTAAATTACAAAGAAATGTTTTATACAACCTAATGACAGATGAAAATCGAAAACTGCAATGATTGGATATCTAACAATTTATCCATTTTAAAAATAAAGCTTCAACAATGCCAGGTACTAGTTAGAATATCTGTGTCTCGGGACAAGCCCGCGTGTAGCACCTTACCACCGATTCCGTAGGACATTTATCATTTAATTTTTAACGATATAACATTCGGCTCAAGTACAATATAAGACGAAAATAGTTCCAATTTTTTTTTCTCGTAAGAATACATGTATATATATAATTTTTGCATATTCATTAATATTCATAAATGTACAAAATAAAATAAATTAGCATATTTTGCATATGAATCAAATGTGAATTGTAATGAATATTTGGGGCCATTATTGGTAAATTAGTTATATAAACCAATTGCATTCTATATTGTCAACCAATTATTATATAAATAATTGGTTGGATCATAAAATACGAAACGAGATATGTATCTTACATAATATGATTTTATTTAAGTATTGATCAATGAATTTAATGTGCACTTGCTACTGTGTCTGGTCGACAGGCAGACGGGTTGACATTATTATAAATGCTACTAAGGTTGTCATTAGTGTAAATATGTATTTCGAAGTCATAAATTATCATTTGTTCATTTAACAGGTCGACAGGTAGACAGGTTGACAGGTAGACATGTAGACAGGTCGACAGGTAGACAGGTTGACATAAAAAATACTGTGAAGTTTGAAAGTAAATTTGTTAATAAGTGTGCTTTTATATCTGGTTGACAAGTTGACAACATTACTCATATGAACATGTATTTTGAGTTGACAATAAGACGTGTTGACAATTTATATATTCAGTTCATTTATAGTAAAATGAGTCAGCATAATACATATTGTTGAGGTTATTTGGTTTCTGTGTCAAATGGAGATGTATATACTTCTAACTGTTATATCAGACATTGAGCATATATAATGAGAATAATATTTAGACTTTCAGGCATCAATGTAAATGTATCTTATGATATAACCTGTCTACCTGTCAACCTGTCGACTTGTCGACCTGTCAAATTGTTGTTCTTAATTTAAAATGTTGACCTGTCTACCTGTCGACTTTTCAGCCTGTCGACCTGTCAAATTGTTGTTCTGAAGAAAAAAAAAGGGGGGGGGGGTTGTTGTTGCTATTTTACATGTATCCTATAGGTTTTTATTATACTTATTCATTTTAATAACAGTGTTTGTTAATATTCATTAAAAATTTTGTTCATATATTTATATTAGAATATAATTGATATAATTATACATGAATATTCATGATCTTACAAAAATATTATAATTAAAACCGATTTACTGCAGATGGAATACATGCATGTATTGATTTTAGATAGGTCCCTCTAACTGATGATATCATTAAGATAATCAACAACTACTGAAGTATCGAAATAAAATTCTGATATATCATCTTTACGAAAAAGGTAATATTACCCATTCAAATTGAGTGGGTGATACAGTAATATCTATTCCAGTTATCGGGATTCTTCTCGTGTTTATCATATTAAAAAAAATAAATGGAAATTTCACAGATTGGGGAAGACAATACCATTAAGTGATGACTCAAATTACATTATATTTGACCGTTTAACTAAAAGGTCAAGGTCATGTCAAGGTCATCATCTTTTTCTTATCATGAAGAATTAATAAAAATAATTGAACGAATCATATATGGTTGGAAATCTTTTTCTTTTTAAATAGATGAGATAAACATGTTAGATAAATAGACATTGTTTAACCCGAATTTCCTCAATTTTTAATCTTTAGGGGATAACAGTCATTTTAATATGCTCTGCATATTTTAAAATTTCTTTATTTACGTATAATAAAGTAGTCATGTAAAGGTACAAAAAGTTTTGACCGTTTAATGAGAGTTAAACAAACATTTATTTACTGCATTTTTCGTACTTGAATTTGTTTTTAGAATCGTTGTTGTTAACATGGTGATAGAAGTGTAATGCTACGTTTACACTATGTTCCCGGCAGCCACGGCAGCCCCGTTTGCCCGAAACGTAGTGCGCCGTGAGATTTTATCTAAGTCTTGACAAGTTCTTTTGCGGTCTTCTACGGTCTTCTACGGAATCCGTGATGGGCCGTAGGAAGAAGTTGCCGTGGAGTGCCGGAGGCTCCACGGCGCACTACGGTTCTGCCACGTATGCCAGCACGTTCCCCCCAGGCCTCTTACGTTCTGATAGGTCCCCTCTCGTTTCTCGCGTTCTTATGAAGTTCTTATACGTTTCTCACGTTCTGTCAAGTCTTTCTACGTATGAAACATGGACGCCGGGAAACTATGGATCACGTTTGTACCAGAGAAGGTCTCCTAACCAGAAACAATCATTGTATCATGACCCTTCGAAGATAAAACATCATGAATTCCCAAGACGAAGATTTTATTTTCGCGTGTTTGCTGGGTGCATACCTAAAATCACTTCGTCAAAATGAAGAGAACCAGCAGCAGTTACAGAGAGGGAAGGCAGGAGTGCAGCAACTAGGAATGAGACGAATAAGACGGATGAGAAGGCGTAGATCCATATGGATCCATAATGAAACTTCTCTGCAGTGCCCGGCTTTTATATGCTTCCTCTCAGACCGCGTGCGCCGTGTCGGACCGTAGTAGAACGCAACGCACCGGGACCATAAACCGTAACATGCCGGGACGAACCGCGATTGAACGCGAGGAAACGGCTACCGTACACCCTAGTTTGCCGTGAGGACCGTTATGAAACGTGGCAGAACGTGATAAAAGGGACAACAACCGTGAACTAGCCGTGACAGAACGCGGACTAAACTCAGCAAAACGTCTCAAAACGTGAATTGACCGTGAGATGAATGGAAATATACATTCTCCCGTCCCACTGCGGACTGCCTCCAAGTTTTGTTACGGTCTATTACGTGCTGTCGCGTTTTGTTGCGTTTATTCCGTTTTACTACGACCTACTAAGTTTCACATCTGCAACGTGGCCGCCGTGGCAAATTTTTTGACAGTTTAAAAATCTGGCACGGCATCCACGGCAATCGCGATGAGTTACGTTTGCCCATCCCGTTGCCCCAAGTTTTCTCACGCCCGTCCCGTTTTTTCCACGGTGGCCTGAAACGTGATTGCCGTGGCTGCCGGGAACATAGTGTAAACGTAGCATAATATAAACTTAAGAAAAATATACCAAGCCAGGTGAATTTTATTAGGAAAAGCTTAATGGTAAAAATCAGCCTCTGTGATATTGCTAATTTTTTGTCATTTTGATCTTCCTCTTAAAATTCACCTGGCTTGGTATATTTTTCTAAAGTTTATATTACACTTTTAGCGCCAAGATAACATATTCTGAAATTTGTTTTCACCTGTAAACCTTTACTGATTGTGATTTGTCTATACTTCTTTTATTATTGACATATTACTATTATTTTTCAGATCTATTTCATTTTCCAGTTCTTCTGAGAAAAAATTCTAAGAACCATCCACTTTTCTGAACTTGTTGACAATGTAACAGCAGATGAACCGTTTGTGAGGGAATTAAGCCTGCGCCTTTTATGCATGGCAGAAACTTACGCATCACCCTACAATATTGCACATGTGAAAATTTGTCAGCTAATGCCTCGTTTCAGAACTCGACTTTTAGACATAACATCGTATAATGAACTAGTGATTAAATTCAACAGAGGATTGAAATGTCTGCTGGTACAGAAAACGAGTGTCCAATATTGGAAACTTAAAAATAACAAACACTCTAAATTTCCGATATTTTGTGATGGTGTTCACTTTAACAAAGAACATGGGATGATGATATACTTTACGAATCTACGTGGTGCAATATTGCACTCCTTGAAGGCTATCCAACAGTGATGGCGTGTTTACCTTCACCATATTCATGTTATGAGATAAGTTTTATTTTATTTTTTAGTTTTTGTATTAAATCATGCATTCAAGATACATGTACTTGAATTTTAAATATCGATGTATTACCAAACAATATTATGGTGTATAGAGTGTAGAACATTTTACGATAGCTGCTAGTTATTTGATGCACATGGCATCGTTTTAGTGATGCACTGTGATATGTCACAGTAGAAGCAGCTTCTGTTCATTTTGATGCACATGGCATCTTTATGTTTGTAATATGTACAGCTGAGCAGTTGCTATTAATGTTATGGCTAGCAACTTTTAATGTGAATGTCGGTACACGCTGATGTATGTTACACCTGTGAATTATGCTCAAGTGTGAATGATATGGTGCTTTGGCAATTTCTTGATTATTTTCCTTGTGATCTGTCATTATAGCCTATGTTTGGCCACTGTGAATTAACTGCCATAGAAACTTTTGCACACTTAAGTATTTGGGTGTCCTTGGTTGGCTATGGAACCAAAAGGCTGGGAAAAATTATTTCCATTAGAAGCTTAATTTGGTGATAAAGGGCATTTTTTATACTTGCAATTTTCCATGTTAATATGCAAAGTCGATTCAAAATGTATCAATCTAATTAAAATTAGATGTTAGATCCGCTCGCATACTCACTACACTGACAATCTAATTAAAATTAGATGTTAGATCCGCTCGCATACTCACTACACTGTATAGCGACTATGCGAGTGGATCTAACATCTAATTATAATTAGATTGAAAATGTATATATAAGCAGATAAGGTTTTGAACTATGAGTGTCTTCATTCTGAAGACAGGCGTCTCATTTTGTAGGCCCAAATATGCCACCTAAAAAGAAAAGACCAAAGAGCACAACACCTGGGAACACGCCATCCTGTGAGACTACAAGCCCAGCAAAACGTCGAAAGCAGACAACATCAGCCTCTGTTGACATTGCCAAGCAGGTGAACAACGCCATTCAGTTAGCCCTGCCAAAAATCACTCAAGCAGTCCTTTCGGCAATGAATAATAAGAGCGAGGAGCACACAGATCAAGCTCCAGAGGTTTCTCAGGAATTACCAAGCACGGCCACGGAGCCGCTTTCCCAGGCTGGTGATGGTAACAGTTTTTCGGTAATACATACATCAGACAGTATTTCTAAACCCTTATCACTCGGGATTGACGCAAAAACAAAAGCAAAAATTTGCGCAAATGAATTTGTAGAGTTTGGGTGGTTACTCAAGCCAACTAAAAAACGTAAATTCTCTATAGAAGAAAAAAACTAGAGGTACTATGAGCAATGAGCTTACTAAATGATACCCCCCGCCTCCCATATGGTTATAACTGATGACAAAGTCCATGATTTGCCATGGCCGGGAAACCCAAAATATGTGTCAGATCAAAAAGTAAAATAGGAGGTGCACAATGGCAATATGTAATAAAGATTCTGTGAAAGTTTCATTAAATTTAACTCAGTAGGTATAAGAGGAGTTGCGGATAAGAGATAGGTACCCTAAAGCGTAACAGACGGACGGACGGACATACCGATTACAGTATACCCCACCCACCCACCCCCACTTTTCAAGCGGGGGTATAATTACGTCACTTTCGTATCGCACGAGAAGAACTAACACACCCTCACACACACAAACGCGCTAATATATTATCTCCATTAATTTTCAGTCTTTACTTTGAACTTAAACTAGAATGTCTTTTTAATAGTTTTTATTCATTTATTCATTCATCTTTTATTTATTTTACTTTATAAAGAGATTTTAGGTAAAACAAAATGTATTAGATTATATACTACTATATACGAGGGTTGTCCGGTGAAATCGTGGACAAAGCATTTTTCTCGAAAAGTAATGGGTGCACTAAGCAAAGTCTTATCGTAATTGATTGCTGCCGAAGGAGTTGACTGATCAGCCAGCTTTAATTTGGCCAATATTGGCATATTTCATTAATTTTGATACCTCGTTTACATGTTTTTCACAAAAAATGCTTTACGAAAATATGAAAGGCTGCCAACCACTGTTGGACGGATTCAATTTTGCATGGATTGATTTCCTTAACAAAAGTCAAACCTTCATTATACCCCCCGCTTGAAAAGAGGGAGGGTATATAGTATTCGTTAATTCCGTCCGTCCGTCTGTCTGTTACGCTTTGGGGTAGCCATCTCTTATCCGCAACTCCTCTTAAAGCACTGAGTGAAATTTAATGCAACTTTCATAGAATCTTTATTACATATTGCCATTGTGCACCTCCTATTTTACTTTTTGATCCGACACATATTTTGGGTTTCCCGGCCACAGCAAAACATGGACTTTGCCATTATAACCATATGGGAGGCGGGAAGGGGGGGGGGATATCATTTAGTGAGCTCATTGCTCACAGTACCTCTAATTTGAATCTGGATCGATGTCAAATGGTGCCTTGATTTATATATGCTCTTTTGCGAGGGAATGTCCCATAAGTCGAGATTAAATTACAATTTTGTTTGTAAACAAAGAACCACAATATCTTTAAAATCTCAATTTTTCATGATATTGTCAATATCATAGAATGTATTGCACTCAAATTTCACGAATATGAGTTATTCATTACATTGTTTTCAGTTGATAAAAATTAATATAGATTTATCGGTGAACACTATTGTTTACAATTCAATAAATATACCTGTAGTATACACTTTGTAAACAACAGTTTATAACATTACACCTTCTTAAAACTGGTAATTTAATATTATAATTCGCTCATTCTTTTGTCGAAGTTCGAAAACTTCAGTCTAGGTGACAGTCACTACGAAGTGGGATGATATGCCTAATGTCGTAATAAAATATAAGGTGTTAGTTGAGTACTTTATTTTCATTACCGCATAATATCAATACAACCGTTTTTTTTATTCATTCGTTCTTTATTCTAGGATGTGATGAGTGAGTCATCATAAGTTTTGCAATTTTTCATTTTTTTAATCTACTTATTATCACAGATATACTAGACAACTTTCAATAAATTTTGTCCCCTTCGACTGAAATGAGATAGAAACTAGAGGCACTGTGAGCAATGAGCTCACTAAATAATACCCCCGTCTCCCATATGAATACAATGGCAGTATCCATGTTTTGCTCTGGAAAATCCAAAATATATGTCAGATCAAGAAGTAAAATAAGAGGTGCACAATGGCAATATGTAATAAAGATTCTGTGAAAGTTTCATTAAATTTCCCTCGGTGGTTTGAGAGGAGTTGCAGATAAGAGATGGATACCCCAAAGCGTAATAGACGGACGGAAGGACATACCGATTACTATATATCCTCCCACTTTTCAAGCGGTGGGTATAATAAAGAGAAGCTATTTAACATACAAATCATTTAAAGTAATCTTATCAAAGAACTTTAAAGTATTCGGAACACTCGTTTACGATTTAAGAAGAAAATACATATATGTCTACTCAACTTGTCCAAAGTTTAAATATACCTACACCTGTATATATCTGTTTCAACTGATCGAATAAAATTTGGAATTCCCGGATGTGTTCAGGTCGAAACTCGTCATAAGAAAGCTGTACAAATTATTTTCAAGAGTTCCGCCCTAGCCAGGAACTGTTCACAATGTTGGAAAAAAAAGACTTTATGATCAGAAATCTGGATTTCTATGTCCAACAAAATGGGATGTCTCCAGATTCAACTGGGATAAGGAAGATCTGTCTTAATTTTCTACATAAAGTTCCTATTAACTTAACCAGGACTTTTAAGGATTCCTCCTTGTTCCAATAAACGAAACGTACGTCATCTAATGAACAGCGTGTTGAAAACGCTTTTCTTTGCCATGGATATGATAAAAAGAGACTTGAAGGTTGGTTTGAGTTCTTGTGGGCTGTGTAAAGTTTCATAACTTATCTGAAATGTAAAAAAAAATGAAATGTTGAGGATATTTGTTGCAAATATTACCATGACTTGGACGTAAAGAAATAAATTCAATTTTTTTTAAGTATGTGAATAATGGCGGATTCCTTTATTTATAAGACCAATTCCACGCAAGCGCAGAGGATACGGAAATGGTATTGATTCTATGTACATTTTCCTGCATAATATTCAAGGAAGCACGTGTACTAATATATAAAGTAGGTTTGAAGAGATTTTCAAACCAAATCTTTGTTTTGATTGTTCGATTATTGCTTAAGGCCTATTTGGCATTAACTCAATTATATTTAAGCGATCTGTGTTTTGAAGAAAAATTGCATTTTCCTCATCAAGTTTCCTTTCTGTTTGCAGGATGAAGTACATGTACTTGAAAATTTTCCTAATCTTTGTTGGGGTACATTTACAGACAAGGGTACGTATAGTGTCTCATCCAATCAGTGTAAATATTGCAATTTTTACGAATTTGTTTATGCACGTAATATCGTTTTTGAAAGGGGTGGGGCAGGAAAAAAAAAATCATGTAACTAACATAAAAAACAAAAAAATAAAAAAAATACTATTTGGAGCCAGGGATCGGGGTTTGATCCAACCAAACCTCGATTTGACTTTGCTGTAACAAATAAAGTTTAAAGGAAATTGTCAACAGTAAAAGATCATGTTTTGGAAAAGTAAGGGACAAGCCTCCCTATTCCCTCCCTCTGAATATACGAGTCTACGTGTTCTTTGCTCCTGAACATCTAACGTGCAAATTGTTGGTATGATAATAATAAGCTATGAGCCCTAACAAAAACTTAAACAAGCTATGAAATTCATGGCCCAAGTGTTCAGGGTTAAGGTTACTAAATGTTGGTAGGTAAGGTTTGTATCTTTACTTATTGACCTTATAAACAACAAGCAGGTAAAATTTTTGCATTTATACAGTTATACTGTATACTTTAAAACCCTTAACCAAGATATAAAATTTTTTTTGCATCTGGGTCCGGCTGAAGTACATGACACCGTTTGAAATTCTCTGCTTTTGTTTATTGTGAATATTGTAAAATTTATCTTCCTTCGGTTCAACATTCAAACCCAAGGATGGAGTTTGTTCATCATTTTATTTATTGAAAAATATTCAAACATTGATAACAAGGAGACAAACTCTTAATTATTACGATTACCACTTAGCCCACTTTCAAGAATGTAAAATTTTGGACCATCTGATAAAAAGAGTACAGAATCTTTATATTAATTGAATGAAAATCAAATGGATTCACTTCTGCAATACAATGCTTCATAAAATTATTTATTTTCTCACCTTTATTTTTATCAAATAATATTTTTCTTCATATGCTAAATTATTTTTCTCTTATAGAGAGGATATGCAAAGGACTCTGGTTTAGTGTTTATAGGAAAAAGTACTTCAGTAGTGCCAACTGAAGTCCCTACACAGCAACTGACCACCACAAGCAACCCAACAAATAACACGGGAGAAGAAATAGGTGACGATTACTTCAAAACTGGGCAAGCAGAAAGGATAGCCTTGGCGATAGGGCTGCCGATTTCATTCATATTGGCTGTCATAGTGTTTCTAATTATCAAGAAATTGAAAAAAGACATTTTATTTCGACAGCCTATAACTGCTACTTATGATATGCAAAGCGAGGACGTTGAAATAGTTCTAAAGAAATAAAATGTGTTTATTTCTCATCTTTATATTTTGTGTCTGCTAAGATTATATGTCATTGTTAATAATAATTCTGAGTATTTCAAACAAATTATTAAACGTCACAAAGTGGCAACACACGACAAACTGTTCATTGACTTTTTATTCATTGAAGGAGGAGGAAGATAAGATGTTTTAGTGTTAGAGGATTATGGAAAGAAGTAAAAAAAAAATGATGGGTATTTAGGCTGTCAAAATACGTATTGCATTAATGTATATTTTTCTGCTTTTTATTGGAATACTGGAACATATTTTTAATAAAGGACATCAATGGCATCAGCCTATAAATGAATACTCTCTTTGCTTTTTGTAAGCATAGAGTTAAACTATACTTGAGTAGTTAAAGTATACTTGAGGAACTTAAATTGATGTCTTTTTTTAAAAACCTGCACTAATTTTGATTCAAAACTAACACATAGATCACACGAGGGTGCAGAAGTTTGACATTTCCTGAATGTCCTCAATTCTTGTGGAATTTCGTCAAATTTGAGATACTTTTCTCATCGGCAGACATAGAACACAAGTTTGCATATCTGAGATTTTTATACATAAAATAAATCTGATACTAGTTTATAAAAATATTAATTTGGTAGATACGCAAACTTGTGCTATATGTTTTCCGGAAGAAAATATGCGTAAAATTAAATCAAATTTGCATAAAAATGAGAAAATTTGGAAATGGAAATACCTTCTGACCTTCCTGTTACGTCTGTATATCCCAGAACTTAAAACCAATACTCATTTTGTGGCCGGATCGATGAACTGTTGAATCATTATGATAGACCCTCCCTCCCAACCCAAGAATCAAAATGGGGCCTTACCCTATCTTGGCCTTTGTGGATTTAGCTGAAATGAATTGAAAGAATCTATTATCTAGAAAACGTTTTTCTATACTTAACAATTTCTTCTAATTTGAAAGTGTACATAAAATTCTACATTTACATCAGAACTGCATAAGCTGATCATCTATGGTCAAGTTTCTTCGTTGTTTAGATTGGAAAAGAAAAAGTGTTGATTCCATTTCACAATATTCGTCTCATTTTAATGTCCATTGAATATTAATAAAGTATCCATTTCATCTCGCTCTCTCTATATTTCTTGATCCCTTTAAGACAGATAAACAAAGAACAAGATGAAATGGCTAATCTTTATTAGAATAAGGTCCAATATTCCTTCATTAGAACTAGTACTTTTGGATTGACCCTATTTTTATTTCACAATGATTTTTACAATGAACAAAATTATGTTCTTCATTTTTATTGATTAAAATATTTTATTATTATTTTAAAATGAATATAGACGAAAGCGTTACCTCTCATATCATTTAAAGTATCTCTATAAACAATTAAAAACAGTTTTAAAAGTAGTTGGAAAGTTTGTATCTATGATTTTCAAAAGGTATATATTATAGAATCTGCACTGGTCCAACAATTATACATTCCTTATGTTTCAAACTGATAGAATAAAACTGTGGTATTTGCAAGCCCCGTATGTGTTCATATCAAACCTCATTAAATTGTTCCAAAAGTTTCGCTCTTGCCAGGAACTGTTAGAAAATAATCTGTATTTTTATCAAACAAAATTAGGTGCCCCCAGTCTCTACTAAATGAAGGATACATAAAAAAATCAACAACAACAAAGAATTATGTATGGATTGATGAATATTTTTGACTGATTTGGAATAGAAATGCCTTTAATGATAAATTAAAAGACTTAATAATGAATTGTATTCGCTGACAAAGTCATTGTATCAACCAACGAAATGATGACTTTAAACGAGACTGCTGATATTATTAGGTCTTTCCACCTTTCTGTGGAAAGACCTCTTGAAATGCTTCTGTTTATTATTATTATTATTATTATTTTTCCGCTACGGACTTTTGATCCGAAAGACTTATCGAAAAACTTTTTAGTTCATGATACTCGACATCAAAAGTTATTTCGAAAAACAACCCAACGTATATGATCTATGACCCCTTACGGAGTTCTTGCCCCTTTTATGTAAAACCTTGTTATCGCTACTCCTTCGAAACCGTAAACCGTAGAAATATGAAACCTTCACTAAAGTCTTCGACTAATTGAGAGGACTCTGGAATCTATTCATTGTGAAAGTATTCGGTGACTCCTTCAATGAGTTATTGCCCCTGAAACTTTTTGAATTTTAGAAATAATTAAAAATTTTCAAAACAAGAAGTGATAGAGACATGGGACTAACTGCATAAGATTCATTGAGCTTTGAGCTTAAAATTCATGTAAAGGTCAAAGGTCAAGGTCATTCCAAAATTGAGAAATTAAGCACTTTTTATATCTTTTTTGTCTTTTAACATATACAAACTGTCTTAGCATCATTAAAATGTACTTTTAAAGCTATTTTAAAGATTCAATTTGTATTGCGTAAGATTGACCCTATTAAAAGTTATCGCCCTTTGTGCGGAAAACCTTGTTATCGCTACTACTGCGAAATCATAAACCGTACAAATATGAAACCTTCACTAAAGTCTTCGACTAATTGAGAGGATTCTGGAATCTATTCATTGCGAAAGTCTTCGGTGACTTCTTCAATGAGTTATTGCCCTTGAAAGTCTTTGAATTTTACAAATAATTAAAAATTTTCAAAACGAGAAGGTATAGAGACATGAGTCCAACTGCATAAGATTCATTGACCTTTGAGCTTAAAATTCATATAAAGGTCAAAGGTCAAGGTCATTCCAAAACTTAGAAATTTAGCTCTTTTTATATCTCTTTTGTCTTTCAACATATGCTTAATGTCTATGCATCATTAATATGTACTTTTAAAACTGTTTCTTAGATTTCATTCTCGTCCCTTAAGATTGACCCTATTAAAAATTATTGCCCCTTGTACGAAAAACATTTTAATTGCTATTGCTCCAAAACCGTAAACCGCAAAGACACGAAACCTTCTCTAATGTCTTATGGGACTTAAGGCAAAACTTTTATGTTCAAGTGCAAAAGGATTTGGTGACTCCTTGAATGAATTACTGCCCTTAAATGCTTTTGTGCTTACTATTAAACCTTGTAACTTTAAAACTATAAGTCATAGAGACATGGGGTAAATTGCAATGTGACCCTTGACCTTTGACCTTGAATATGACTTGAAGGTCAAAGGTCAAGGTCACCTAAAAAAAAATTCATTTTCATTTTTTTTGCTTCTTTTAAGCCATTCCTGGTTTCTTTCTTATGAAATTTAACTTTAAATAGATAAATATTAAATAAAATTGAAATTCAAAAGGTGGAAAGACCTCTTATTGTTCTGTGAACAATAAGTCTCCTAGTTATTTCACAACTGCTTTGTCAATAATTTACCCCGTTTTAGAAATTGTACACAAATTGTAGAGCATACACAGTCTTACGTATCGAATCAACTGAGAAATATAAACTCAGTATGCAGGTGATGAAGGTATATTGCTGCATAAGTAAGGGAAGATGACGATTGAAAAGTTAAAGTCATCACGTTTATCATAGAGCTTGGTTGTTAGATTACCATTAACGTCTTTTTTCAAGTGAAATATCCAAATATGAAACAAAGTTGTCAGACTCTGTCATATCTTTTATCTCAAGCTCACCGGAATTCATCGTAATGAATTAATTAATAATAATTAATAATTTTAATAATTTTAATGAATTAATTGATAATAATTAATAATTTTGATAATTTCTGCTTCATATGAATACAAAAATTTAAAAAGGTCTGCTGATGAAGGGGTGAAGTTGGTACCCATGGAAATTCCAATAGATTGTTGGAAGACCTGGTCACAAAAAAAAACACACACAAACATTGTCAATCAGAAACTCAAGCATCCATTTGATGTCAATTTCAAAGTACTTGTGTGTACAATCAGAATATGTTTTTTTTTACAAAATATTTTTTTTCAGATAACCAGTGACAGGATAGGTAAACATACGAGTTTCATTTTTATTGACAACGCAGCTGCCAATGAGATCAAAAAGCCTGGACTTTTATTTATCATAGGGCATGGTTGTGTATAAAGCTGAAAAGTCGACATTTCATAAGCTGGTCATTTTGGTAAATATTATGATTTCAAATTGTTTAAAACCTACTTGGAATTTTTAAGTATCCGCATCTGATTTACAACACTTCTGGAATATATTGATGTACAGTACTCTTGGAGTTTCTCCTTCACTACTGCTAATATCTGATTTAGGAGTAAAGAAAGAGGCTTAGTTGAACATTTACTGGAACCCGCTATGTATCTTTATTTGTTAGGAGTTTATGAAGTTTCAGAATCCAATATAGATACGGTAATTCAAATCATTTTGATTGTTTGGGATGTTAAAAATTTTCAAAACTGATATATGATTTTGAAGAATTTCTTTCCTAGAAAATGAACTTTGAGGATAAGTTAGATTTTCACTTGTAGAATTAAATCCAAGTTCTTCAAACATACAATTTAAAACATAAAGAGTCTTACAAACGAAGACAATGTTGTTACCTGCTTTGTCAACAGTAATCCAAACGTACTGATCATGTAATCTATCTAACTTTTTTTTCTCATTTCCGCATTATTGAATGCAAAAGATGGTTTTTATATTGCCCCTGAATATTTAATACGCGATTGTAAAATAACATCTGATATATTTAATGCATTCTGAAAATATTAAAGTGTAAGCGGTTTTTTTTATCTGGCCCAATTTCTTCTGGCGTAATTTTCTACAGAATTCATAATTTTGATGAAATTTCGACGCCAGTTAAAGGATTTAGGTTCCCTATATTGAGGACCTTTTAAAATTAGTCATCTAGGGTCTTCATTATTATTTACTATTTTTACGTCCACCTGTAATACATGTAACATGTCCAGCAGGACTATAGTTATAGGGTGAAGAAGAACATGATCACGATAGAGGATTATGATTCAAATACTCGATATCCAGGCCTTGTCAAGTTTTCTTGTAATTGGAAGCAATAGTCGATGTATATTTATAGTTATATACAAAGTGTAGTCTTTAATTTGAAATATGATGGAATACAAGACTAGACCCTTTTGTGATTAAGAATATAACTTCTATTAACTGCGTTAATTCCTTGT